TCCATGTGGGCTTATCAAAATTGTGACCTCTAGAGTGTCTGCAAGCTAAAACGTGATTTATCAAACAATCATAGGTGACGAGATTATCCATCCATATGAAAATGTGGGCATCTAAAAACGTGATTTTATTTGTACAATCAGGGGCCATAATCCATGAAGTTACATTCTGATACATGCCAATATCGTAAGGAAATAAGATCTTTTGAGATATTTCAAGTTCCGTCAAAATCGGATAAAAATTGTGAAAAGTAGAGTTTCCACAAACAAATTGTGGTCTAACGAACAGGGGCAACAAGAATATACGTCCATGCGAAAATGTTGGCGTATAGAAATAAATCAAAGCTTTTTAAGTTTGATTAGTATTATATTTGACAACACCTTTACTCCAAAATATCCGTAAAACATATTTTTCCTAACATTTCTTATTATATAAATATGAAAATACCTGGATTCATAAAACATAAACTTAATTTTTTGAACAAAATATAATTCAATTATTCAATAATAAAACTTAAACCAACAATCAATAAAGAAATAACTCAATATACCATAAAATAAAAATATAGACGAAAAAGTATTTGTACATAAGAGTAAATATTACTTCAATATTTTCAAACAAGTATCCACAAAAACAACAACCACACAATTAACAAATATATGGCTATTTTTGTGCGTTAAATAAAGAACTATATGCCTACAATTATATTAGCTATGCCTTTTAGCAATGACAGATTGTTGAAAAGAAAAAAGCACAAATTTTAGACTTATTTTCAGATGGTGAATGTTTCAAGAATTAGCATTTAGTAGCAATATTGAATGATGTCAAGCGCAAGGCAGGGGATGCTTACCCTATATAAGCACCTAGTACCACCTTTTGCAATGTTTTTTGATCATCTTTGTGTTATGAATAAATTTTGCTGCACTTGATTTCTTTTGATATGGTCTACTTTAGTCAAATATTAGTACCTTTTTGATAACAATCTTCAAGTTCAAAATGACTTGACTATCATACTTGACCAGAAGCTGATACTATTTGTAATAAGATTAGCAGAATTTTTGCCTTTAAATATAATAGCATTATATTAATAATTATGTCCTTATTGGTAGGCAGTCATATCTCACCGATTAAATTAAATGAGTGATGGGTTGACACATAAAAAGATTTATAAAACCAAAAAATGCTGATTCTGGGTGAAACCAGAATAACATGTTTATCACTAATGATAGGAAAGTTACCATTACATATTTGGCATGAGTGACCAATCACATGATTAATTACATCATAATTAGCCAATAGAATAATTAATAGCTGTAAATCTGAGCGTATATAACAAATAGAATGTGTACTCTTGGGTAGATATCATGTAGATTCTTTAATGTCAGACAGCCGCTAAATTCTTAGAGAGGAGACATGCATTGAGAGATACTGTTGAAGTTGATGAAGAGACACCATCTGGATTCAGAATGCCCTGTGAGTCGTAGGAGAGACATATGATGTCCATAGCCATCAGTAAACTTGTTCTGCTAAATGGTGGGGTTGAGAGAGTAGAGAATGACTTTTATTTTAATTGTGCTTGTAACCTTTGTATCCAGTGCTTGATATAAAATGTAGAAGCGAACTGTATCATTGTTATTCCTGGTTGATGAACGTCTTAACTACTGAGATAGCAAGAAAAAAATACACAACTGAAAAGGAATCCCAAGACGAGAAAAAGAAACAAATATAACCAGAGACAATATACTAGACGATCACAAGTCTAATAAAATGTGTAGCAGAGAAGAGAGTATGCGTCACAGGTTGGGTGTGGGGAGTTTTTTAAGTGTTTGTGCTTTCCACATTTGACCAGCGACGCATAGCACTGCATATTACTAAATATTCCGGTTTAACCAAATGCTTTAAACTTATAAGAAAGCTGGAATTGGGATAATAGAGACCCTTGAGAAACACATACTAGATCTGCCACTGGAAGTACACAGTTTCAGAGCAACCATCAATGACTCTCCTGATATTTTCAAACAGTAAGGGCTGAAAGACTAATATTATAAATATTATTGAAATTGTGTATATCTATGTAGAAAAAACAAGTATGGTTGATAACTGAAAGAGATTGATAGTCAATTCTAATATTCAATTGATACTGATATTTAGTCAATATATTGTAATGCCAACAAAATACAAATAAAAATGATTATTATTACCGTAGTTATGTTATCTTTCCGATCAATAACAAATATATAATTGGGGTTGAAATGCCAGAAAATCACAAAATCAAAATTCATAGAAAATTGATAATCCTTGAGAATCAAAATGCATGCAGGTTGGCAGCAGTTCATTAAATAATAGTTTATGTACAGATAAGATTATTATCAGATTATAAATTGATTTAAAATCCAATAAATCATTCTACACTACGCTTCAGAATTATAAATACGTTCTTCAATATACTGACTTAGTAGAGTATCTGGTGGAAGGAATTCATCATATAAATTTTCTATATGAGTTCTCCGCACTCCACCTTTTGTTTTACCTATATAAAAAAAAAAGAAAATTAATATTCAATTAATTTCAGGCTAATACTATAGTTCAAAACCTGATTTCTTTAACTGTTTTATCTCAAATTATTTTCAAAATAACTATATGATAACGTGAACAAATAAATAAACTCATAAAGGTATAGAGAAAAGAAATTATTATACTTCATTGCAGTGTATACATATAACATATAAGTTAATCAAAAGACAGTCATGTTAGTTAGTTATATTCTAAAGGTAGGTTACCAGGCAACGAAATATACTCCCACAGCAGCTAAATCTTCCAAGCAGAGGTTGTCACATATTTATTCTTTTGTAGGTAAGGCAACACAAATAAAATAACTTGTTTCTCTGGCACCGCCCGCACGCAAAATTGGTTGCGCGTGCAGTCTATTTATTAGTCTTGATGAAAAAAAATAAATATGTAACGCCCGCCCGCACATCGACAAGCAAGTCGTAAAAAAAATATCCCGCATGTACCTACATCCGCCATACATGTATATCTATTCAAATGTATTAAAACTGATTCAGATGAACATGCTGTTATTTTTATCCGAACAATGGCGAAGTTTGGCAGATTTGCCTTTTTTATTGATATCGAAAGAACCTCCATTTTGTATCACGTGATATTAATTACCTCCCCTGATAAACTAGAATTTGATTCGTGTTAAAAGTCATTGGCGACAATATTTCGATCATTCGATCGTAATCGGCTCATTATTGCCGGCTTCAGTCGGTCCTTGTTTGGAAAATCCTATTGATAAAATAATGAACCGTAGAACAGGTTAATTAATTATAGCTAAGAATACGATACGATGACGATAGTCGTCATAATGCATACCTTAGAATCTGGGTCATTATTAGCACATTTACGGTAGTTTCGATAATCCGGAAAATAATAATTGGATTACCGATTTGATGGTTTTACTGACCAGTTGTTAGTTAGATTTAAATAGTCATTCAATATAAACACCGGATAGAACACCGAATATCCTGAGAAACACACCGAATATCCCAAGAAACAGTATTTCCGGCAATCTCCAATACCGATGACACGGTGTGACATGCATTGGTTGGAATTCGGTAAATAATTATAAATAAACCGGCGATACTAGATTTAGTTTTAAATACTGTTTACCATGATTATTATTTATGATACACCTGGTGAAAGAGGCTTAGTTTTTAAAAATATTGTTGTCTTTATGGAGGGCTATTACATAGTCGTATGGAATTTTATTTTAAACCAATTTCAATTATGTGAATTAAATATGGAAAATTATTTTCCTTTCAGTCAGTGTTCAGTCTCAGTGTTTTAGTAGACTTGATTTTGGGTTTATGTTTTAAGTATGTACAATAAAGTTGAATATAACGGAAAGCAAAAACGTAAACTAGTAATGACTTTCTCATTTAAAAAAAAAAAAAAAGAAAGACCGCCCTCCCGCCCCAACAATTTTCAGCAATAGCCAAATTTTATTTTGCACCATCAATGAGTAAAAAAAAAAAAAGAAACCGCCCTCCCTCCCTACAGTTTCAGCTGTCAGTTGCCCGAGAAACAAGACATTTATTTTGTGTGGCCTAATGAGAGTATTTTAGACCATAGATATTAATTTCATACAAATCGGATGATAACTTTTGTCGATAGAGCATTCACAAGGTTCAACAAAATGAAATAAGGGCCATATCTCCAGAATTTATTAACACAACTTGCTGAAATTCAATACGCCTCGTTTCACTGATCTAAATAATGCATATTAATTTCATAAAGATCAGAAGATAACTTTTGTTGATAGAGCGTTCACAAGGTTCAACAAAGTGAAACAAGGGCCATAACTCTAGAAGTAATTAACACAATTCATTAAAATTCAATATGCTTCTTTGTTTTACTGGTTTAAATAATGCATATTAATATGATACAGCTCGGGTGGTAATTTCTTTTGCTAGAGCGTTCACAGGGGTCTAAAAAAAGCAAAACAAGGGCCATAACTCTAAAAGTAATTAACATAATTTATTGAAATTCAATAAAATTCTTTGTCTCATATGTGAAATTGTGAGGTAAATTTTGGCCGGACAGCGGCACTATGGCCTACTCTTATATTGACTTCCAACTGCCAAGGTATCTTTTATGTGCATGCCAATGTGTACCAGGACTTCAGTTTTTCATCCCATTTGAAAGACTAGACGACTGTCCTTGTCAGGTCCTTCATCCTGCACCACTAACAAAGGGGAAACCATGCCGGAAAATCCTGATGATCTTTCTATTAAAGCAATGGTTTTAAAGCCCAAATCTTTAATCCTAGAATTGAAACACTGGTTTGTACTCCAAAACTGTAGCCATAGAATTGCTATAATGGTGTTATAAGCTCAAAACTATAGTCCAGGGGAGCACTTTAGGTACGGAAACCTTGATTTTGTATTTCAAAACTGTAGTTATTAGAACGGAAACCCGTTTTTCATGGCAATAAACATGGCTAATGTTTGCCGTAAAAAAATATAATTTTAGTTTGACTGGTGTACTTACTGGAAGAATGGAGACATAAGAAATGGCACAGGTGATGTAGTAATAGTCGTTCAAAACCACAAGTTATTTCAGATATAAATACAGAGTTGGGCCAATCACGGAAGAATGTAATAATTTCATCTTCAAGTTTTTCTAACAATCCCTGAAAATAACAATCAAATCCCAACAATAATCAAATTAAAAAAATATCATAATAAATTTTAATGCCATTGGATTCAAACACTTATTTACTGCAATTGTTGCGACCAAGGTTACTTAAAATCGGTTTGTGCTGAAATCTTATTTGTATGCCAATTTTATTCCTGTGATAATAGTTATGTCCACAAAATATTTGTGTTTCTTATTCCTAAAAAAAACTGTATTGGCAATTAGCATGAGAGTGAGAAATAGGGTTTTCAATGCTCACTCAACACAAACTAGGTCAATTTTAGACTTAATATGGTAAATAATTGGTCTTTATCAGTGTGTGTGTGTGTGTGTGTGTGTGTGTGTGGGGGGGGGGTAATATGGATATTTGGAAGAAACCCTCGCGGTAAGACAACTATGGTTTCTGGACTCAATGACAGACATTATGACCATTCTACCATCACCTTCCACTTTAACCTCAACGTGGTTATTAGCATATTTTAAAATAATACAAGTAAGATTGCTGTAAATATTTAAAATCAAATCTAATTCAATAACACATCCAGTTGACAAACTATCCAAAAGCTTAAGTTAATGTGACAAGCTGTTGCCATGCAAGATAAGCCCACATTTTGCAAAAGATGGATAAAGAATAAGCTAAAAAAAAAAAAATGCAACTCTTGGTAATTTCAGGGGCCATAATTCAGGAAGTTACAATCCGATATGCGTGAATATCAAAAGGAACCAAGATCTTTTGGTTATAAACTAAATTTTCAAGTTTCATCAAAATCAGATGAAAATTGTGACCTCTAGAGGGCCACAACCTTGATGTTGCGTGTTGTCCGGCAGTTTTCACGAAATCCAAACTCAACCGTCATCAAGGTGTAACAGTGATATGGCTTCTAGGGGGAACCATACTCCTTGCAGTGTTTCGTTTGATTATACCTAATCCCATTGAACACTGCTATAAAGGAAGCAAATTTCTGTTCCAAATTATGATTGTTCAATAGTCCGATTAACAACCAATAGCTAACTGCATAACAATATCATTACGCTTTAAACTGAGCTCCAAATTGGACCAAATGTGAATTATGGCCCCTGATTGTACAAAAAATCATGTTGTTTACCTTGTGGACCCTATGGAGGCCACAATTTTATTCCGATTTAAAAAAGAGTTTGAATATATCACCGTTACACCTTCATGATGGTTGTGTTCGAATGTCGTGAAAACTGGACCAAAAATGACGGACAAAATGGCCGCCCCTCGTAGGCAAACCGTGTAAAAATATGGTATATAAGGTTGTGGACCCCTAGAGCTCACAATTTTGATCCGATTTCGATGAAACATGAAATAAATGTTTATAACCCAAACATCTTGGTTCCTTTCGATATTTGCACATATCGGATAGTAACTTCCTGAATTATGGCCCTTGGCTATACAAAAAATCGCATTTTTAGCTTGTGATCCCTCTAGAGGTCACAGTTATTATCCAATTTAAAAAAACGTGTGAATATATCACTGTTACACCGTAATAATGGTTGAGTTTGAATTTCTTGAAAATCGGACCAAAACTGACAGACAAAAAGGCCGTCCCTTATATAACGCAAATGGTGTAAATATGTGGTATATCAAGGTTGTAGACCCTCTAGAGGCCACAATTTTTTTCTGATTTTGATGCAACCCTAAATTTATGCTTATGTCACAAAGATCTTGGTTCCTTTTGATCTTCGCGCATATCGGATCGTAACTTCCTGAATTATGGCCCTTGATCGTATGAAAAATCGCATTTTAAGCTTGTCGTCCCTCTAGAGGTAACAATTTTTATCCAATTTAAAAAACTGTTTGAATATATCACCAGAACACCCTAATGATGGTTGAGTTCAACATTCGTGAAAATCGGATCGAAACTGCTGGATAAAATGGCTGCCCCTCGTACGCTAATAGTTTAAAAATATGGTATATCAAGGTTGTGGACTCTCTATAAATGCATGTTTATAACCCAAAGATCTTGGTTCCTTTCGATATTCTTGCACATCGGATCGTAACTTCCAGAATTATGGCTCCTGATTGTACAGAAAATCGAGTCTTCAGCTTGTGGTCCCTCAAGAGGTCACAATTATTATCTGATTTAAAAAACCTTTTGAATATGCCAGACAAAATGCGCCTCCCCCCATATGCAAATAGTGTAATCATCTGGTATATCAAAGTTGAAATGCATGTTTATAACCCAAACATCTTGGTTGCTGTTGATATTTGCGCATATCAGATAGTAACTTCCTGAATTATGGTCCCTGATTGTACAAAAAATCATGTTTTAAGCTTGTGGTCCCTCTAAATGTCACAATTATTATCTGATTTACAAAAACGTTCGAATATATCACCGTTACACCGTAATGTTGGTTAAGTTTGAATTTCGTGAAAATCGGACCAAAATTGCCTGACAAAATGGCCGCCCCTCTACGCAAATAGTGTAAACATCTGGTATATCAAGAATGTGGACCCTCTAGAGGTCACAAATTTGATGCGATTTTAATGAAACTTGAAATGCATGTTTATAACCAAAAGATCTTGGTTCCTGTCGATATTTGCGCATATCTGATTGTACCTTCCTGAATTATGGCCCTTGATGTTACGAAAAATCGCTTTTTGTTTAGCTTGTTCTCTATCCATCTCTTGCAAAATATGATTGTATCCTGCCTCGCAGCCGCTGGTAATACCTTAAATCACCGTCCAAAGTTTTAGGCAAGACCCCAGATTAGACGAAAGGCTGTCATGTTGCTGTACTTGGGATAGATTTGCTTGAACAGGAAGAATAGACACACTCCCTCAAAAGCTCAAGTATCAGAAGCCAATCCAGCAATGGCCAGAGACGGATTTCTCGGACCATTTCTTCAGGAATATGAGGGGGACCACAAGCTAAAAATGCTATTTTTCGTACAATCAGAAGCCATAATCCAGGAATTTGCAGTCCGATATGCGCGAATATGGAAAGGAACCAAGATCTTTTGGTTATAAACATACATTTCAAGTTTCATCTAAATCGGATAAAAATTGCGACCTCTAGAGTGTCCACAAGATAAAAACATGATTTTTCGTACAATCAGGGGCCATAATCCATAAAGTTTTGACCAGATACATCCGATCTTTAGGAGATAAACCTATATTTCAAGTTTCGTCAAAATCGGATAAAAATTGTGACCTGTAGAATGTCCACAAACGGAAATTATTGAAATTGATGGGGCAACAGCAATATACGACCACATTTTCATGTGGGTGTACCAAAATTGTGACCTCTAGAGTGTCTACAAGCTAAAAACATAATTTATTGAACAAAATGGGCTACGAGATTATCCGTCCACATGAAAACGTGGGCGTCTAAAAATGTGATTTTTGTACAATCATGGGCCATAATCCATTAAGTTACGTTCCGATAAATGCAAATATTGAAAGGAACCAAGGAGATAATCCCATATTTCAAGTTCCGTCAAAATCGGATAAAAATTGTGACCAATAGAGAGTCCACAAACAAATTGGGGATGGACGGGATGGCAGGGGCGACAACATAATATGTCCACATTAAAATATGGGCGTATAAAAATGTTAAGCTAAGAGATTATTTTCTATAAATTACTATATTTTTTGTGGAGTAACGTAAAAAATCGTGTGCACAGCAATGTCCTTGGTGCTCTCATTGCAATACAAGGATGTGCAACCTAACAAAGCAAATGAAATATCATAATATATTGATTCAAAAATAGTCCCAGTTGAAGCCTATTAACTTTCTACTTACCAAAGGAATATGTCTTCTTCTCAACAGCTTCTTAAAGCTACTATGTAATCGTCTAAATGATTCCTCAGCAGTAAAAGCTGGGTGTACTGTAAAATAAAGTGGCATAAACAAATATATACAGACATGTTATCTCATGTTGCTGTATAAAGAAATCTGGAAGAAAGAAATATGTTCTGTATAACACAAGATAAACAAGTCATTAACAGTGAGGCTTATTAACTACTTGCTAATTTATCTTTTTGCAAGCATAGCAACCAAATTGCTTATCTCTAAACAGCCTAAAAAGAAAATGCTCATGATCAAACTTAATCAAGATATTGATGTAATGAAACTATTATGCTATGTTTCATGAATCTCATTTAATTGGAATCAAAGTTATCATGTTCTAAAGTCTAGACCAAAGTCTTAGCCGAAAATGCTTATCAACGAACTCAGTAAAGGCTAACTAACAATGAACAATTACATCAAGTTTGAACAATCTAGCTTGATTAGAATCATTGTTATCATGATTACCATATTACCATATTGTGCCTCAGAGGTACCTCTGCACAGCCTCTATGGTGGCCAGGAGTTTCCTTTGAATAAGCAATATACCTACCAAATTTCCTTTAAATTGTTCAAGGAAAAGAAGACGTAAATGATGGAACGACAACGGACAGTAGTGACGAAATATGCTATTAAGAGCTGGAGAAAACATAACAATATATTAAAATAAATAAAGATAGGTTGCCGGGCATATGCCCACAGCAGCTATTTCGTCCAAGGAGTTTTTCTTTGTCAAATTTTTGCCATAAATGAAATGAAATGAAATGGAGTTTAACGTCCTACTGTTCTGCTCCTAACCTGGGCTAATGAAGACGGGCATACGCCATACAGTGTGCTATGAGGGAAATTTTGACCGGACAGCGGCACTACGGCCTACTCTTATATCGAATTCCAACTGCCAAGGGATCTTTTACGTGCACGCCAATTAGTACACGGGACCTCGGTTTTTCGTCCCATCCAAACGACTAGACAGCTTTCCTTGTCAGCCCCTCCGTCCTGCATCACTGACAAGGGAGAACCACGCCGGAAAATCTGGATGAACTTTCTCGGCCAATGCAGGGATCGAACACCCGACCTCCAGGCTAGCGAGCTAGTGTCTTACCCACTTAGCCACATGATCTCCTTTTTGCCATAAAAATATACATTTTGATCAATCAGTAAACTGTATAAATTCTGATCCTTCTGACTTTATTTACACATCTGGGTATATCAGGTTTGGTGACCTATTCCTAACTCATCAAGAAATTATCATGAATCCTTTAGTATTGTTAGATTTCTTCATTCCCTTGACATAAACTATAAACATTGTGGTTTTAACAGATAATAATTTCAGCTGCTAGGTTACTCAAAATAATTCTAAAGCGATCAAAGACCATAACTCTGCAAGTACTTAACAAAAACCATTGTATGTATAAAACATGGTACCAGTATATAAACTTGAAGTCTATCAGATTATAACTTGAGCTACTAGGTTTCTTTGTCTCATGAATATAAATACTGCAAATGCATTTTATGTCAATTGGATGAAAACTCTAGCCTCCACAAGCAATTGTGGAACACGGATGGAAATATTGACAGGGGTGACAACAATCTGTGACCACATTTTGATGTAAGTATATAAAAATTGAAATTGTATTACCTTTTTTATACAAATGATTTGAATGTTTTGTATATATATATATCTATATAAAATATAGGAGGATTTAACCCCAGACAGTATTAGTCATCCAGTACATTCATGTTTAAATGTACTTAATAGCATCATAGCACAACAAAAGCTCTTGAATACAGCGACTGAAGTTAACTGTTGTATACGTGTATACACTGTAGCCAATCTGATTCAAACAGGTCTATATTTCGTTTTTTTTTATACTTTCAAAGGCCTTTATTACATTAAGATCTGACCAGTTGTCATGTGAGCGACTACTGCCATATGACGCCTGTCATTCTATTAACCAATCAGCATCTGTGTTTCAAGTAGCTATTTGGAAATACAACGTTTGCTTTGTTTTACATTCTATCGCTGTGACCATTTGATTTGCTAATCCTTTGTTATTTAACAACTCTTTCAGATCCTAGTGTAGTGTAGCCAAGTAAAACGAAATTTTGAAAGAAACGATATTAGACCTTTGTTTTAATCAGATTATTGTATAACAGTCTTCAAAGAGACCATCTCACATTTTAACCCATGTTGAGTTTGATTTCTACCATTAATTTAAATTTCTGATATAAGAAAATGTACTGGATGTTCAACACGAGTTGGTGCAACATACCAACTCTTTTATCTGGTATTTCCTCCCATTCTTCCTCTTCTACTATCTCTCTATCCATTTGATCCTTTTTCTTTCTACCACCATTTCCATTAACAAAGTCATTCCAGATCTGTAATAAACAAACAGGCACAAAGAGATGAAATGACAGCTAATTTCTACCAAAAATGTTAATATACACTTTTGGCTTCTAAATTGCTTTTCAGCCAAGAATAATTTTCGATCTGTCAAATATACCTAAAGAATCTAATTCCCTTTTCAGTTTAGGGATAATGGCAGTAAATGAGCGCTAGAATATTTTGTTCTATGAGGCCTTATTTTCAAAATTATGACTGGAACTAAAAATATTTAACATTTTAATAAAGGTAACTTACTACTGTATACATTTATCTTATTATAAGCAAATTACCTTCATCTTTTCATGATCCATAAAGAGTTGAGCAAAAGCTGAGACATGAGGTTCTTTAAGACTAACCATATCACATTCGCATTCCTCTTTATCAACCATATTCACTAAATACTGTACTGAAATATTAAGTTATAAATCCACTATATATTGTACTAAAGTATAAAGTTCAAAATTCTTCAAAAATGGGCCCCAAAAAATGGGGGAAAAAAAAATCCTTAATAGATAATAAACAATTAAAACAAGAATCCATTCTAAAGTTCAATAAGAAATATTCGCATGAGCATTGATTTTAAAAATTGTGAAGTTTTAACTCATAGATTGGGTGGCATGACATTTTTTCTTCAATCATAATCCAAAGTTACACCGCTGTCAAGTCAATCAGATAATAACTTTCACTACTCACAAAAAATTGTGGCAGAGGGACCAATGTCAACACATTAAAGGACAAATTTCAATGGGGATGCTCGATTTTCAGTCCGGAATGTCCCGAATTGCAATCAAGTGAAGTGGAATTCAGTCCTGTCACAGTTTCCACAGTCCCAACAATGGTGGTGGTGTGACTAGAATCGTGATATATTTAAGCACAACCATTTGGAGCATGCGTTGTAGCCCGAAATCCCCCTTTCCACTCGATTGTCACTATTTTGGGGATTTAGAGAATACTATTCCAGATCGTTCAATCAAGTATCCTCAATATGTTGTTAAAGGGGAGTAACTACAGGTTTATAGTTAAAGGGGAGTAACTACAGGTTTATAAACTTAATGGCATATCTTAACCTTGGGCTAAATTTAAAGATAATCTAAGTTTTATGGCTACATGTATCTGGTGTCTTTTTACATTAAAGCGGCATTAGGTAAGATTAGATAAAGAGCTCACAGTTCTTGCTATAATAATTAAAAAATAGATATGGAAAAGAGAATATGCTGACAATTTCAGTCAAATTACTTCACTCTGAACTGAGATATTAGCGATTCAATTGTAGGCTAGCCACAACAAGTTTTAAAATACAACAATTCAGATGTAAAAAGTAAATATTCACTTCGGTGCACTACTCCGCCGCTCTCAAAATCATTTTATACATTTAACCAGCGGCTGCCAGGCAGGATACGCCCACATTTTGCAAGAGATGGATAGAGAACAAGCTAAAAACAAACAGGATTTTTTTGTACAATTAAGGGCAAAAATCCAGAAAGTTATGGTCTGAAATCAAGGGCCATAATTCAGGAAGTTACGATCCGATATGTGCGGATATCGAAAGGAAACAAGACCTTTGGGTTATAAACTTACATTTCAAGTTTCACCAAAATCAGAAGAAAATTGTGACCTCTAGTGGGTCCACAACATTGATATATACCATATTTTTACGCTAATTGTGTACGAGGGCGGCCATTTTGTCCGGCAGTTTTGTTCCGATTTTCACGAAATTCAAACTCAACCAAAATTATGGCGTAACACTGATATTTTTTTAACGGTTTTTTTAAATCGGATAATAATTGTGACATCTAGAGGGACCTCAAGCTAAAAGCACGATTTTTCGTACAATCAGGGGCCATAATTAGAATAGTTACGGTCAGATAAGCGCGAATATCAAAAGGAACCAAGATCTTTGGGTTATAAACTTACATTTCAAGTTTCCTCATAATCAAAAGAAAACTGTGACCTCTAGAGGGTTCCACAACATTGATATACCATATTTTTACGCTATTTGAGTACAAGGGGCGGCCATTTTGTCTGTCAGTTTTGGTCTGATTTTTACGAAATTCGAACTTAGCCGTCCTTAGGGTGTAACGGTGATATACTATAACGATTTTTTAAATCGGAAAAAATTATGACCTCTATAGGGTCCACAAGCTAAAAATACGATTTTTCGTACAATCAGGGGCCATAATTCAGGAAGTTATGGTCCGATATGCGCGAATATCAAAAGGAACTGAGATCTTTGGGTTGTAAACTTACATTTCAAGTTTCATCAAAATAGGATTAAAATTGTGACCTCTATAGGGTCCACAAGCTAAAAACATGATTTTTCTACAAACAGGGGCCATAATCCATGAAGTTTCGATCCTATACATGCCAATATCTTAAGCAACCAAGATCTTTTGGAGATAAACCTATATTTCAAGTTTCGTTGAAATCGGATAAAAATTGTGACCTCTAGAGTGTTCACAAACAATTGTGGACGGACGACAATATACGTCCACATGAAAATGTGGGTGTATAAAAATGGCAATCTTCGACAATCAAAAAATGAAATTCAGCCATGTTCCATTCGCAATAGATAGTAGACCTGGGTAATCGCGTCTTAGAGGGAATTCCTTCTGACACCACATATAGATAGACTTCAATGATACAGTGTGAAACTGCTGCTGGAGGTGGCCATGATTGTTTATTGCGGATGACGTGAACAGTGTGTACGACATCGTAATTTATTCAAGAACTGCTCTAGGTTTGGGAAACCTTCTTGTCTGCTATAAATTGTTTTTTTCGTGCGGCTTATATCTCCAGTATTACACAACAAACGGTCAAACTGTTATGTGTCCTCTGAGTTACTTTACACATGGAACAAGTATGTAATGTCTTAATAAGATTGGCGTTGAAAAGTTAGTGTGTATCTTTAACATCCACTTGACACAAACCAGGTCATTTTGGGACTAACATATATGTATGGTTCAATCTTATTTCAATAATTTGCTTGCACGTCGGAGGAAACCGGAAAACCCAATGAAAAGCCAGAGGGTTGGAAAGGCTACCCTAATTCTTGTCACGTACAAGCGGGGAATCGACAGACCTTATTTATGGTCCAACGGCCTCGTGTTAACCATTCGGCCACTCAACCCCCCTCGGTACTCACAATTTTCTGTTCTGCGAGCACGTCTAACACCAGTACGATGTTTAGACAGTAAGAGATTCTCATCAAATCCTTTCTTCTTATTATGAGAGCTACGAGATTTTGTCTTACTGGAGGATCTAAGATCCGACACACTACAGATCATAACATCATCCTCTATTTGATCATTTTCTGGTAATCTGAAATTATACAAATTAAATACGTAAGTTACAGTACCAGCACATGAAATGGCATAGGCCTACATGTACATTATTAATACATTGTATTTATGACAGTTGGCTAATTCTGGTTTGGCATATTCAATTTCTTTCAACTGATTTCAACAATATATGAAAAGGTACGAATCAATTTGAGGTACAAAGTGAAGTACAAAACGGCTGCCAAACCAGAATTAGAACTCAATGACCGTTGAATACTTCTTGGGTTATTCAATGGTTGAAGATGTGTATCCCTGCCCAAGTTACAAGTATTCCACGAGCGCTAATTATGTTTCACCTTTATTTCAATTTCTTTCAACCACATTTAGGATGATTGGGCAAGCTCTTTTTGTAAGAAATGGATATGGCCTCGACACGCTTACTAGTCTAACTATATTTTCTATTTGAGCCTACTGTACGTATCAATGACAGATTGCCTACTAGTATTAATAAAACAAATCAAAATATTAAAAACCAAATAAAATTGCGAATTATAATTTTGACTCATTTCAATGAGGTTATGCAATTTTAAGGTCACATATATTTATTTATTTGACAGCATTACTTCCCCCAATATTAGCTTTGTTCTTCCAGGTATGTATAACCTATAATTAAAATAAGTATAATATTCAGATTTTTATTAGTCAAATGTCTGGAGGGTAGCTACATGTGGTAAATAGCAATCTAGGTCTAAATAAATTCAACTCTTAATTCCATTTTGATTGAATTCAAAACCTGCACATCCATATTTGTGAAATTATGTGTTGCCCTGGTAAATCAAGAGTAAGCATCACTAATGTTTCACTTGTTAGGTCTTGTACTAAGTTGTAGGAGAAAACAGCCACTTTTTTCAATGACAAAATCCATGGCCCATGCAATAAATGAAATGAACAGTTCTTTCCGATCAATATAAACTATGACAAATGACCCTTGTGCAATAAATCTAACAATATGTCACATCAAACTAAACAGTGTTCCAAATTCTGGCTTGTCAATAATAAATAACAGTGCATAGGCCTAACTTAAATGACAGTAAAATGTCTAGACAACTGTCATTTTTGCGGGATCGAAAAAAGGATCAAAACTCACCCCAGATCATCTTCAATATATCCAGTGAAAAATAAATCGTTTGGATCTCTAATTACCCCCATGATTGCAGGAAAAGGCAAATAAACAAGCTGATGAATCAAAACAAAAGCAGGGATAGCTCAATATCTGACGTTTGCTGAAGAACTTGCAGGTCAATGACGAAATACGGTATCGTGCAAATTTATGCTCAACATGATACAAGAGAAAAACGAAACGAACAGTATTTTCTGGCAAATGTTTAATAAAAGTAAAACAAATGACAAATAGAATCTAATCATTTACAAGCAGAAAAAAACCCAGATAGTATATCCAGTAGGAATATAAATGCCGATTAAATATTTTGCTTTGTAACGGTTTACATTTCTAGGATAGCCAAAAATTAATATAGGCTAACCTTTAAACCTAATGAACTTTACACCCAAGTTTTATTTTGATGATGGTGGGCATCATTGCAGCTGGTATTTTATCATGTCTATTATTAATCTTCGCAGCTACCTTTTTGAAATTATTGTTTTTCCAAACAAAAAATGAATATTCAAATGGTAGCGAGCCATCGATTATAACGCTTATAGCCAAAGCCGTCTATAGGATAGCAACAAGACAACAAGGTCGACTCTACTTGAATGCCAACCCAGAGAGAAAAGATAAGAGAGACACAATAAAAGCTGACCAGTCGGAAAGAATATCGATATCAAAATACAGGTCTATAATTTTGTTTTGTTTGAGCTTATACGTGAAAGAATCCAATGAAAAACGCATTATTTCGAGTAGTGATTTAGAATATTAATGGAAAAGAAATGAAATTTATGGACTGGGGTTTAACGTCCTATTGTTCTGCCCCGCCTGGGCTACAGAAGGCGGGCATACACCATACAGTGTGCTATAAGGGAAATTTTGCCCGGGCAGCGGTACTATGGCCTACTTTTATATCGAATTCCAACTGCCAAGGGATCTTTCATGTGCACGCCAATGTACCTGTTACCTCTGTTTATCGTCTTATCCGAAAGACTAGACTGTTTTCCTTGTTAGGCTCCCCGTCCTGCACCACTGACAAGGGGGAAACAACGTCGGAGAATATTGTGGACTTTAATTATTTTAAAAAGCGGTACAGTTGTCAAGCATCGAATGCTCTATAGCTTTCTGTAGTGAAGTAGAGTCTTGTGGTTATAGGCGCGCGAGCCCTATGAGGTTTACGGCGCGCAGAATGGAAATGCCCGAAAAAAATTCCCAATGCTGCCGTCGAAGCCGGGCCCTAGCGAGCTCTTAAATCGGCAAGTACGACATCGGGTGGTATAGGGCTGTCCTCCACAAAATGTATGAAAATTAGACGACCGCAAACGTGTTTTCATGCAATTTTAGCCCGCGATTACAGCAAAATATAGTCGTATTAGCAACCCAATCAATTCCCACCCGAACCCCAATCAACCACCAATCACCGGACACAAATAATTAAAGTTACAATTTCATATTTTCTAAGAAAGTCAAAACATAATTATTTCTATGTCTTTTGCTCAATAGGTTGTCAACTCACTATTATACGATCATAGGTGTCATTCTCACACATAAAACTCATTTACACCGGAAATAATAACACAATTACCTCCCAATAACCTCCCTTGTGTTCTATTCTCCACCATGGAGTAGCTATCCTCAAACGTTTGAATTTGAAGAGGAAAATGATATTTTTGCCAATCTCTCAACTGGCAATAGTGAATTATAGGATTAATAGGATTATTCTTTAACAAGGTAGGGCTGTTTATAGATACCATCTATTTTAAGGCTTTATTTTAATAAATTTTAAAAATATAACGTAAAAATATGAAATCGCAACTTTAAGCGTGACAGTGTTGATTACACTGATCTAAAATGTTTTAAGTTTGCTTCCATTTCTCAATATAGGAACATTTCGATCCCTGAAATAATTGATGAAACAGTGCAGAGAAGCTCCAGTCCAAAAGGTCATAGTATTTAAGGCACTTTATTCTGCCGACTAGGAGGCAAAAAGAATTACCCCCCCCCCCTCAATTTTAAAGGTAACAAATGCACAGGAAAATTCTCTAAGAACAAAAATAAATAAAATAAAACAAAATAAATAGTAAATCTTTATTACTATGGGAAAAAACGGATGCCCGGTGTACGTAAATGAACCCTTGTCAGTTGGAATTCGAGATAATTGTAGGCTGTAGCGCTCCTCGTCTATAGCATGTACTATATCGCGTATGCAAGTCGTCATGAAAACTTTAATTTTATTCTTAAATTAGCTGAAAAACAAATAGAATAAAACTAAATAAATAGTCAATCTTTATTGTGAGAAGAAACGGAGGTCCGGTGTACGTAAATGAATCCTTGATATTTGGAATTCGAGATAATTGTAGGCTGTAGCGCTCCTCGTCTATAGTATACTATATCGCGTATGCACGTCGCCATGAAAACTTTAATTCTTAAATAAGCTGAAAAACAAATAAAATAAAACTAAATTAATAGTCAATCTTTATTACTATGGCAAAAAACGGATGTCCGGTGTACGTAAATGAACCCTTGACAGTTGGAATTCGAGATAATTGTAGGCTGCAGCGCTCCTCCTAGCATACTATTTCGCGTATGCACGTCGTCATGAAAACTTTAATTCTTAAATTACTTGTCAGGCCCTCTGTGTTACATCACTGACAAAGGGGAACTGCACCGGAAAATCCGGATGAACTTTCTTGGCCAACTTACTCGCTGAGCCACCGCGAGTCTTTGGACTTTTTTTTTTTTATTGTATACAATATTCCTATTGGATAACTGGGAACCACGGTGGCTATGTGGGTAAGAAGCTGGCTCGCTAGCCTGGAGGTCGAGTGTTCGATCCCTGCATCGACTGAGAGAGTTCATCGGGATATTCCGACGTGTTTCCTGTTGTAAGTGGTGCAGGACAGATGGCCTGACAAGCACAGCTGTCTAGTCGTTCGGATAGGACGAAAACCCGAGGTCCCTTGTATACATTGGCATGCACGTAAAAGATCCCTTGGCAGGTGGAATTAGATATAAGAGTAGCCCATAGTGCCGCTGCCCGGGCGAAATTTCCCTCATAATACACTGTATAGGACATTAAAGCCAATTTCATTTCATTTCATTTTACTGGACAACTAAAACTGTTAATGGTTCTGTGAGTATAGCGCTAGCTTACAATCAGGAGATTCCTAGGCCGAGAAAGAAAGTTCCTTGGGATTTTCCAGTTGGTGCCTTGTCAATGGAAAGAGGTTACATCTAATTACCATGGCCACCTGCAGATTTCCCCATGGTTATGATATGTAAACAGGTCTAGCGCTAACCCTAACCGTAGCCATAAGCCTCACGCTAACCCTTACCCACAATCCTCGACAACACTCATGTGCCCTTACCCTGTTTACATCTCGTGACCTTGAGGAAATCTGCTGGTGGCCTTGGTAAATAGATCTGACCGGAAAAAAGGCCTTATCGTGGTAAGGTCAAAAGCCAAGACCGATATCAGATTTGGTCATAGGTCACGAGATGCAGTTAGCGTTAGGTCGAACCTAACCATGTTTACATCTCGTGACCTATGACAAAATAAGCTGCTATAGGTGTTGGCTTTTAGCCTTTACCCCTTATGGTTACGACGGGACGAAAGATCATGGTTCTGTACACCCCAACGGCAACACGTTATAGATCCCTAACAGCATAGGCCGTAGCGCATTCACTTCTTCATTATCCCGGTTGGTGGAGAAAATCAAGACGTTGCACCCATCATTTCATTTCACTAATACCCCCGTCAGACTAGGGTGGCGTCCCTAAAACGCTGCTGCGCTGACGGAAAATGGTCTCAGAGAGCGCCATAAGTGTGGTAAAAGCGTGGTCGAAACGCCAGATATCATGCTGTGGTCTCCATGGTCACCAACACGGCGTTTGTGTTGAGCACGTTCAAAACAAACGCCAAGGTTCAGTGATCGGACCTTGAAAGCTGTGAGAACCTAATGGGGTCGCGAAGGTCGCGAGACAAGCCTGACATCTCCATGAACGTATAGTACACGCACAGTACACACGTGGCAATAAACACTGCGAGAATTGTAACATTTTCAACGGCGACTTGGTGGCGTGTTCACCACGACCGTCGTATGTCTGCCACAACCCCACGATGCGTTCGGCGTCCTTAGGCGTTGTCGTGGCTATGTTACGATGATTTCACCACTGTTGCGCGATTCCACCACGTCTTCATGGGCTCCCAGTGTGCCTATGGCGATCTTATGAGCTTCCCACTGCGTTTATGGAGTTAATACGACCATAGCGCGCTTACCAAGCTTGCATTACGCTCCTACATGTATGGCGACTACATTCTTTTCATGTATATACGACTTGCTATTATAAAAACAGATGACCCAAAGTTCATACGTCTTGAAATTTCCAATGTTGTTGTTCTTAGTATTTAACGTCCGCTTCCACCGAAGGTGATATCGCAGACAAGTCTTATTTTTCATTTTTCATATTATCTTGGCGCACGCGCAGGGGTCTTTCCTGTTGGAGGAAACCGGAGTACCCGGAGTAAACCCACGAGGTTGATAAGGCGCCCCTATCTCCAAGCCACATGCGCTCACACCACGGATAGGAACCACAGCCGCAAGCCAGAGATGACCGGCCAGCTAGGGATCGAAGCGCGGCACTCTAGACCACGAACGAGGCCATCCCAACCCCCGTGAATTTTCCAAAAATCTGACCTGCTTATATAGTCGCCGTGATTACGTGGTAGAAACGTACGTACAGTCCCGATACACGTAGAAGACGTGTGGTAAGAACCCCATGAGCGTGATTAGAGCGCCGCGGGTTCGCCGATGATCGCCGATGCCAAACCAATAGATCTCAATATAGAAACGTCATAAGCTCAGAGAGGTCGTGACGAGCGCGCCTTTAGAACGCGGTATAATCGCACAGGTCACGGGTGAGAACGCGACTTTTTTCAAGTTTGTAATTTTTGGGGGACATTTTCTCGCGTTGTGTTTACATTTGCCGGCGACCTTGTGCATTTTCTGGAAGACGTACGTTCGCAGCAGCACAGTAAGAGCGCCACCCCTCTCTGACGGGGCCTTGAGGTGAAAGTAATGGATTATTGTGTCTAGGCCTTGCACTTTTAAGATATTTCCGAACTTCTGCAGGGTTTATATAAACTTTATTAACGCAACATACACACGTTTTGAGTTTTAAACGTGTTAACCCGTGAACGGGGGCATATTTACTTTCTCCAGAACTCTTTCTCTTTTGTTCAGCCATCTTTGTATTTATTTGCAGAATAAACAGAGATAAGTTACATCTATACAAACAAGTATGTTGCTGCGAAGAAGTAATACCATTATGTTTTTTAGAATCGCTGTTTATGCCATCTTTAGTCAATCTTACGGTTAACCCAATGTTTAAGTTAAGTCCATTAGGTAAGATAATAATTTTGTTTTGTTTTGCTTGTAAATGGCGATTCAACCAATTGACTCAAAATTCCAACCTGGAGCGACCTCTGACAAGTGGGAATTAGGTTTCAACAATAAACGCCGTTAATAATATCGATTCAGTATCAAGCTTATTTGAGGGAACCAGAACGGATTAGCCCTGTGCGGAGGGCACGGGACAAATCGGATTTAACGAAAATGCACAGGATCAAACTAGGCAGACAATTTTGAGGTATATTCTGCGCGAATAATATAAAATAGAAATATTGAATATATTTTTTGGTATTAGAACACAAGTTTCAAACTTAATCAAAATACGAATCCCAACCAGTCCCTTTTAAAGACAAACAGTAACTAAACAAACAATATGAGGAATCTTTAGCCATAATAAATTCCAATGATAATCGTTCGTGTCAGAGTGTAACAAGAAATCAAATTTCAGAGCAAAGTTTTAACACAGTCAGTGTATAACAGAATATATATATAACAGAAACAATAATGTAAACCAGAAATGAGATATTAGACTGCTGCGTAACGGTTCAGTACTAAAGGCTACACTATAGGAAGGTAAACTTAAAGATTCACTAGACATCTGACCGTTATGGGATATAAACATATATTTTAAACATATATTATTGAAGAGCTAAATCTGTCTATTGCAGGTCTTTCTTTAGGCCTGAAATGTTATCTAAATTATTAAATAAACATTAATTAACTTATCCAGACCATAATCAACTCTCGATGTCATTACTAGCATACGATGTTTATTGGATTAGGTTCTGATTTGCTGTTCGACTTCCATTCATGATTTACATTATCTCGTTTTTAACTATTATAGTGAGAACTTTCAGCTCTTTATCTAATCTCCCATTATTTTTCTTCGAGTTTCATCAAAATCGGATATAAATGATGACCTGTTGAGTGTCCACAAACTATTGTGAACGGACATCCAGACAGAGAGGGGCGAACGTCCAGACAGAGAGGGGCGATGGCATAATAATATGGGCGTATAATATAAACAAAACAGGCGACATATTTCCTGTGTACATATTTTGTCAACATGTTAACCTGGGATTGGCCGAAAGTGTTTTTGAACACTGATTTATATTATATTATATCATTTTACAGGACTGATTCATCTTCGCCAAACAATCACTGTACACGATTCTCTTGAACGATTGTTAAATGCAGAGTTTGATCTAGAATCAAGAATAAAAGAATATCGTTTAGTATCTAGAGGTGTTGAAGTTGACGTATTTATTTCTGTTATAACTGACACCGGTTTCTGTATCTGGGAGGGCCTGGTCACTCTGCTATCCCGAAACACGTCAACTCAACGAAGTGGAGGAAATAAAAATATAAATAAACAGAACAACGATCGTGGTTAGTATTTATTTTGGGTTAGCTTCCCAGGCACATAGCTAGCGGGGGTGTGGTGGGGGGCAAGAGGGTCAGCTGCCCCACCCCACCCCCTGAACAAAGGCGCCCTTTCCATTGAACGCAATACGACGGCCAACGTGCCCGTATCAGTATGGGCGCCCAATAAATCCAAGTGACATTGATTGGGCGCCCACGGCGAGATTGATGAGGCACCTCATAATGAATCACACGATTAACACCACAACTTGATTGATGTGGCGCCCAAAACAGCGTGATCTGTGGAGTGCCTTATTCCGGAGGAGCGCCCATAATGACATGATCGTCGGACCGCACATAATGCACGATTGGTTGGGCGCTCACGACTTGATCAATGGCGTGCCCAAAACGGCATGCTTTGAGGGGTGCCTCATGCCGGAGGGTCGCCCATATTGCCGAGATTGTTTTTATTCACCCACGACGAGAACATGGGCGCCCAACCGCGAAACCGACCGCATATCAACGCCCGAAGAAATCTATCATAAGAAAGCCATCTGGAGATTGTAGTAAATTTTCTAGGTCAAATTCACGATGGGGATGGGATTGATTCAAGTCCTCACCAGGCGTCATAATCTTCAAATTCAAACAAGTTACACGCTAACCCGATTCCGAACTTTTCTTCGTTTTTCGTATAAATTATTATATATGTAGGTACGCTAAAGTCGTATGTCATTTTCATATTTCCTCTCCTCAGGTGCAAACCCTATTTTCCAAAATTTTCTGGGGGGAGAGCACCCTAGACCTTTCTCCGAAGGGATCGGCATCTATTGTGTCGTTCGCCGTGGACCGTCAAGTGTAGGTACATCGAAGCCCCTAGAAGCCCCATCGGCGCATCCAGAAGCCCCCCCCCTCAACATTTTAGGGCTAGCTACGGTAATGCTTCCTTTGGACATATCGGCTGTGAGTTAGATTTTTAAGATCGTAAACCGAAGACTAAATCTTTACAACATGAACAGAAGGATACTAAATTGATATTTTTACAAAGAAGATGACCGATGTGATGCGAATAAATTTCTTATGTAGTATGATATGTTTGTAGAGCAAAATCAATGGAAATGAAGTGAAATGAAATGGGGTTTAACGTCATACTTGTTCAAACGCACTGGAAAATGGCATTTTGTCGACATCAAAATCAATGATCTCCCAACTAATCTATAAGTCGCCTTCTCAGAAGCGAATTGGCATATACGCTTATATCATGGCAATTAAGGCAATGGCAGGGGTGTAGATAATAATATGAATCAAAATATCATTTTTTTCTCGAAAATATACCAACTTAGCTTGTTCAGATGTTAGATGTAAAATTTGTTTACGCAGGTGGTTCTGATGGCTGTCATGTACCCCAGGTTTGCTAAGCCAACGTTTTTAAAGCTAGTTTAACAATGTCCTTCTGTACATTAGTGCTAAACCAAACACCACTATATTGGAATATAGCGAAGGGTGGGGTGGGGCTATATTCGATAAAATAATAGTCTAAACGATTGCTATTCTATTAAAAAAAGAACCGTCTAAAAACAACTTTCCACTCTTAAAAAAAGTAATTGATTTTCTGGTTTTCTTTAATTATTTGTTTAAGAACCCAAGCCAGATAACCTGGTGCTGGTAGATGTACCTTCAGATAATGGCATCAAATATGCACGGGCCTCTGGTGACTGGAATCCCCACCATATCTATCCATGGAGTGCTAGATTATTGGGTTATAGAAAACCTATAGCCCATGGAATGTGGATTCTATCTAAAACAATTTCATTAATAACACAAGGTACATATATTTTATAATGAAACTTTTTAAAAATAACACATCATGTTTTTTCATTCAATTGAATGAATTGTTATGAATTATGTATTTTGAAATCTATATAAACAAGTTCCAAAACACAGACGTGAACAATGACAGTGCATCGAGAGGCAGGGTTGATTTCATACCAAGCGAAGATATGAGAGCTTTTCCGCGGGGTTGGGTGGCCAAATGGTTAGCGCATGCGCGTTGTATCATAAGGTCCGTCATTGAATCAACTGGCGTGGTTTCAATTCCCTGGTTGTACGTGATAAAGAATTGGGCCGCCTGTCCAACCTCGTGGGTTTTCTTCGGGTCCTCTGGTTTCCTCCCACTGCTAAAGACTCCACCGAACGTTACAAAGGTCTCCCAGTTACAAAGGTGCAGTGGCCAGGTTTAGTTACTCGTAATTTGCTTTTATTCCAGAAAATGTTATATGGTTGCATAATTATAACAGATACCATTTTTTTTTGTTTTTACAGATAAAGTCCCTCAGAATTACCCCCTGAACATTGAAGCAATGTTTAAAAGACCTTTATTTATGCCTGGTCAAGCTATAATTGGTTACTCGAATGAAACAAAATACCGGGATGTCGATAAAGTAGATTTTAGTGTAGCAGATGCCATCACCTCTGCTCCACATCTCATTGGTTCCTTGATATATAATGTAGATTAAATGGCTTTCACCCATGTCCCTTTGCAGGGTATCAATGAATTATTAATACAAATCAAATTATTCGGTATATATTTACGTATAAAGATTGACAAATTAATGCTTGTAGTAGCATGGACGACTTAGCTGTTGTGTATGCACGTTTCTTTGTCTGGTAACTTATATTTAAGTTTAACTATATTAGAATGGACGCGCATAGAAAATTTGATTCTAGTAGCCACCCATCGTTATAGCTGTGAACCATCAACTTTAATGAAAAATGGCAGTCAATATTTGAACGTATGTTAATATACGCTGTCTAGTTCGACGAGAGTTGACCATGAACTGTTTTTTTTTCAAACAATTTGAACTTTATTAAAAAGTGGAAGAAAATGAATTGAACATATTTAAATATACTATTCAAAAAAAGTAGGGGATATTTGATTTTGGGGGCATAATACTAAAATATGCAAATGACTACGAAAAAAGTCACTATAGAACCTAACAGAAGAAACATTTCCAGTTACATGTGACGCCCAAACGCACCAATAGCTACCGCATGGAATGCAGGTGATGCTTGGGATCATCAAGGGGGTCCAACCCAAGATTTGCACGACTCTGACTTTGAATGTTACAGTCATTGTGGCATTGAATTCCAGGGTGGAAACATCAGTTTAATTGTTTTAGTGACCAGAAAACAAATTTTGATATGCGTCGGCTTACCCAAAATGAAAGGTTACGTGCCCTTGGCATGCTACAGATCGGCACAACACAGGCGGTTGTGGTGCGGACGATGAATGTTTCTCAGTCTGTCATAAGCAGGCTATGGTCCAGATACCGTGATACACAATCTGTACAGGACAGACCACGCTCAGGTCGACCAAGGGCGACAACTCAAGCCCAGGATCGATTTATCCGTACCTTGGCCTTGAGAAATCGTGTCATCACAGCAAATCAGATCAGCGCTCGTCTTCAAACAGACACTGGTGTGAGAGTGAGTGGCCAGACGATTCGGAATCGACTGCAAAGGGGTCACCTTCGCGCCCGACGTCCTCGCGTGATCCCTTGTTTGAGAGATCATCACATTCAGGCAAGACGTCGTTGGTGTAGGGATCGTCAACACTGGGATAATCGACGCTGGAGCAATGTGATGTTTTCAGATGAGTCAAGGTTCACTGTTGATTTTTTGTACAGACGTAGGAGGGTTTGGCGTCGTCGAAACGAGCGCTTCCAAGACGTTAACGTCATCAGACATGATCGATTTGGGGGTGGTTCTGTTATGGTGTGGGGAGGCATCACTGTTGCTGGAAGAACGGCTTTACATGTTGTTGCAGGGCGTGTTACAGGCCAGTACTACCGGGACAACATCTTGGCAGTCCATGTTGTGCCGTTCGCACGACGTCATGGCCGCCGTTTCATCTTCCAGGATGACAACGCAAGATGTCACAGGGCCAGGATCGTTACAGGTTACCTCCAACAACAGAACATCACCACATTACCTTAGCCAGCACTGAGTCCCGACCTCTCCCCCATCGAGCATGTCTGGGACATGCTTGGACAGAGGTTACGTCAACGTCAACAACGTCCTGCCAATGTCCAAGAACTTGCTGCTGCGTTGCAACAGGAATGGGACAATCTGGACCAAAATGACCTTAGACGTCTCATTAGGAGTATGCCACGTCGGATCAATGCTTGTTTGGCAAACAGAGGAGGATTTACCCGTTACTGACTTGGTTGTGATGCTGTGGTAACTTTGCTGTTTGACCCCGGGTATCATTTTACCCTTATAATGGTCAGTCTGTGCCTTACTTAGTCTAACGATCATTTGGAATAAATCGATGAATGTGAACTTCATTTCATTTTGTCATTTGTTTCTTCGTCAGTTTCATTAGGTGACTTTAATAACACTTAAAAATCAAATATCCCCTACTTTTTTTGAATAGTATATATACACGCATAAATAGTAAACATTAATAATTAAATAAATGTGTACAACAACCCAACAAGGAAGATAAGTACCCGCCCCTCTGAACCGTCAACATTCCACGCAAAAAATAAATAATAATAATAATATGCTATCCCATATACAATACACAGATCCACGATCATTACCCCCCCCCCCCCCCAAATACGCCGTCCTTTCTAAAAAAAAAACAAACCACACACAAAATCAGCAAATGACAAAAATAAAGTCCGAACCCCAACCCCAAACAAAGACAAACTCATTCTATGGAACTGAGAAAAACCTGCAGCATGTAAAAATGTAAAACAGCACAAACAGCATTAATTGGAGTTAATTTACACTATAGGTTATTTGCGACTTATTCCGGTGAACCAGTGGCAGATATTTGTCCAGGTGTATTGGGGTTTGTTTCAGGTGTAGATAGTTCTGTTGTAGATAGTTCTGCAGTTGGAGCAGGTGATGATGGCTTTTTAATAAATAATGGAATTCTGGTGAAAATGGAAGCAAGGAACCCTGCAAATCAAAGAAATTTGTGGCCTACTTTAGATCCGTTATAGGTCTTTTATCTTTGAATTATAATATCTACAACAGCATTGGAAGCCTAAAGTCAACCAATAGCTTAAAGCCAAGTAAAACGGGATGCAAAATTACTGGATTTTTACATCCAAATTATGCATGCAGATCAATCCACAGAGCCCGGTTACTTGAGCCGAATTCAGATTCGTCCTCTTGTTGAAAACTGGATGGTTACCATGAGAAACTTTATCGATAATTTTGCAGAAGCTGCTTGTGGGGTTGTCAATGACGTAGTTACACTCTTATAGCAAACTGTACCCGAACAAAACTTCCATTGAGAGATATATTTTGTATTCCTTACCTATGCCGCACACTCCGCTCAAAATGTAATACATAGTGGTCCATCCCATTGACTTCAAAACTCCGCCTAACAATATGGGACCACCTAAGCCCGACAAAGACTATTGAAATAGAAACCAAAATATAGATAAACCAAACCGGCGTTCTTTATGGTGACTAAATATCTGATTGTGTTATGTACCATTGAAAAGAACTCTAGAAAATTTTTGGTGGTGAATATTGCAATTCTTGAAACGTTCTGAATATCGACATATTTCAAATGGAAACAACCGGGATAATTTGAACTCTAATCTGTATCGCATTCACAAGATTTAAAAAAAAAACCGGGAACATAGACGCTGAAATAATTCATTAATATGCGGTGGAAAAATTCTGAATTAAGATAAGGTTTCTCGTTATACCCAAATGAAAATTCCATGTGTGTACTTTAGTGGTGCGTTGAAAAGCTTTAAAAGATAAAATATAAAGATATCTTCACAAAAAGCGTTCAAAATTTGCGATCCGAGAATTTTGAAAATTGAAAGGGGTTTTCATTTTAATCCTAATGTGTTAGCAAGAATCAGGGAGTGATAACTCTGCAATATGCAATCGAAAAATCTCTGATTTGTCGTCGTTTTAATGGAAATATTAAAAATAACTCACTGCAGCAGACCAAATGAGTGAAAAGTTTGATTTGAAATGGGTAGTGCCATACGTATACTGTACAATACTAGGCGCAAATACTAATGGCGTTGATAAGGTACTTTCTAATATAACTATCCATAGAAAGAACCATCCATCTCCCATATCCATTGTTTGATGAAGGGTTGTTATAAATATACAACCAATCAATAAGGCTACGATGTGCAGTAGCTGTAAAACAAGAATAACACATGTTTGTAAGCAAAGAAACACAGATCAACTACGATCTCCTATTAAATCCATATACACAAAAATTACAGTTACTTAATTGCAAACATGGAATATGGACACGTTCCCTTTTATTCATGAATACAATTATTAACAAAAAAAATGGTAATTATGGGAATAGAAGAAAACAATAGATCACCCAAGCTCACTTGGGACATAGCAGAAATACCTCGCAAAGAGGGAATAACAGAACTAGACATAAAGTCAATTACTGTTGCGTATTAAAAGAAAGCAATGATTATATTGAACAAATCTCAGTTTGAATATGGGATCACAGTTTACTCTATATCACAGTATAATATATAGGACACTACTTTACCTTAATGCTAATATTATCTGCTAGAATTGCTATTACTATCTTGTATATAGATGACACCATAGCTGCAGTACCTCCTATATAAGCTATAAAATGATCATTTCGAATAAAAGTCTGACCGAAACTCTGAAAACATAACAGAATTTTTAATTTACAAATATAACATGTATTTATTTTTGATAATATTTTATGATAAGCCAAGGTTTTAATTAAATGAATCTGGACACGGACGGAAGTCCACTGATTATCTGTGTTAATTAAGGCTAGATTGGTAATATCTCTGCAAACAATCTTTCTGTGAAGACCGATATCAGTTGAAAATACGCACAGTAAGATAATATCATTTAATATAAATTACATTATTTACCTTGTATGAAACTTGTACGCCAAGCAGACATACAAGAGTTGTAAATACTGTAATCCATTGAATATAAGCTCCTGGGTCTTTCAATACTTGTAGTGGCGTATACTCGCATCTACCATCCTTACTGCCCAAATATAATTTTAAGTATACAATAGTTATGATCTCCGATTTTATATAAAAAAAATAATTACAGAAAATTAAATTACACATCTTCGTTCACAATTTTACCACACAACGCATTGCTTGTTCAAAAGTTAACAGTTTTATCACAACGAAATTTCAACTGCACAGAAATTGCGCGTCATTTATTGAAATGACACTTATTAACGTAATTCAATGTTTTATTGAACTATTTCAAAGCGGTTTAGCTCCTTTAACATACGATGTAAATTTGATTGACTTCTTTACAGGCGAAAAACACTTCAGAATAAAAAACTAAACATATGATATAATTATATAATTGACTATATGTATATACAATTAAATTTACGAAATACACTGACCCCCCCCCCCCCCCCAAAAAAAAAAAAACCAACAAAAAAACGGCCTTACAGGGATATATTAAAATAGATTTATTTGTTGATATCAGTAACATCTGTAATTCGCTTTAGTAATGCATTTTCACACGCAGATACACCACCAGGCTATCACTGTGCTACACTAAATGAAAGCGCCGGCGTCTAGCATTTTTGCTGAACTCAACTAAAAACCAAACAAACTCTGCATTGTAGTCTTTGGGCATACTACAGGCCACTGTGAACACAAAGAACATGTGTTAAAAAAGCCAAAACCTTTTACATTTCCCCTTTTTTTGTTAATTTCCCTTTTAATTTTTAATCAATGACTATTTCGCAAGCATAACAATAAAAGGATATCTATATTTAATGTACTGAACTTTTAGATCTGCTCGTATAAGAGTTAATAGACATTATACATGCCGCGGATCAATGATCTTATTGTAATGTACAGAGTAATTTTGTAAGAGGTAAAAGCTATTATTAATGAGTTTTACATTATATATAGAGTCTTAGCAAATTGCTATATTAGTCAGGTCAAAATTGTATTGTAGACATTTAAAATGCAGTGCTTAATTAGATTAGAATTATGGCTTTCCCTATAAAATTGTACATGTTTTTTTCCCTAGAAAATTTGTTTATGTTTTTTTTTTACTTTCGGAAAAATTATGAACTATTTTTTGCACATAATTACTCAATTCAGTAAATAAGAAGTAAATAACTCTTTTTAGGATAGTAAAATACATATAACCTTTGTTCCATTGAGGAGAGGGACTTTTGAGTTTCTTGGGGAGCACCAGTGCTATCATTGTTTAACTCGTGTAGATTTATATCTTCCTATAAAAAAGATAAATAGGCGCATTCAACTATATGGGAGTTTCCAAAGTCTTAAAAAGCGCTGAGCGGGCCACGATTCCTCAGACATTACTGCGCCACCAGATGAAGAGATCTTAATATTGGTTCCTCAACAGTCGCATCTGGATAGAGGCTAAGACAGATATTGTTCGGTGTTATTATAGAAAGAGTTCACACAGAGTTATTGTAGACATTATGTTAATAATTAGGATGTAGCGTTAGCTCTTGCCAGCCTGTAGGCGTGTCTTAACAGCCATTTGCTCCGAGTTAAATTATTAATATAAACAAGTATTCAAAACAATACGGTTTTCGTTGGGTTTTAACTACTTGAAAACAAAACGTGAAGCGCATAGTGAAGTATAAATATCGAAGTCCATTTCGAATTTCTAGAAAGAAGAAATAAAGGTCAACAGGATCGATATTGTCATAGAAAATCTATTGATAGTAAATACAGATGGTCAATTTTCTCTATTAAAATGAAAGATGCTGAACAATAAGATCACGGAGAGGTGTTATACTATAACCTCGTATGTTTTATTTACCTTGGGTATACTTGTCTAGTTATTTACCCTATATTACTATACCACCCAGCCCGTTCTTCTGGAGATTGGGAAAATTGCTGCATATAACAATGGCAATTATTAAGTCGTGGAAACAAAATCGATGAGAGTAATTAAAAGTTCAATATTCAGTATTCGTACTTACATAATTAACAGATGGTGGTGTAAATGCTAGAGCGATACCTATAAACTGTAATACTGATGTTAATGTTCCTAGCAATAAAAACATTTTGGGCACTCTATCTAATATCTCAGTTTGGTTAAAAACTCTGAAAAAAAAATCGAAAAAAATCGCAAGTAAAGATATAATACCATGGATCCTACGTTGCCTTTTGTACTGATCGCCAATTTTCAATACTAATTGATCTTATGGTCAAAGATTAGAGATTAGGTGAAACATAAACCTATAACATATAGATCATATATATATATTATGACATAGCCTACAAGAAATAATAAAAAAAATGGTTGCGAAAAGTTGGTTGTACTCACACCAAAGGAGATCCTGTTAACATTATGTTGTGCGCTATAACAATATTAATTTTTAAAGCAAGTCACAGTGTATAATACAACTTGAATTGGCATGCAAACACCGGTCCATAATCCAATTCTTGGGCGACACTGCTAGATAGAATCCAGAACTTACTTAACTGGGGATACTGATCAGTTTAAATACCAGCTAATACATCATTAAGGAATAAACACACTAACAAAGATTATTTTTAACTCAAGATGTGATAATTTACTATATTATGAATTAACTAATAACTTCTACCCGTAGAGATTAAGGGGGCAGTTTTGTCTCGTATAATCTTTCGTCTTAAAAGTAGCCCGCACCCCCTGCAACCGAGTATAAATTCAAATGCAGTAGAAATTAGAGGATTTCATCGGAGAATGCCGATTGCCATCTCTTATCCTTATCTAATTGTTTTGTATTAATCTTACCGTATATAACCCAGATGTTGATTAGGTGTAAGATTATCTGGATTAACAAAATGTGATAACATCCAGTTCCACACCAAACCACCAAAACTAAATCCTGCTATTAATACACCACACACAGTAGTCACACAGGAAGGGAACCACTGAAATTTAACAAACACATTACTTTTTATTAAAAAAAAAACAAATGGCGAAGATATAAAAGAGGCAAGGGTTATTCCTTTTTCTTACATGGACCTAGGTCATGGTGATATTATTCAGCTACGCCCTTTTTCATGAATTTAGATTTACATGTCTAATTACCTTTGCGGCTAAGTCGAGATCATTTATAGAATAACAAATCATGTTTTTTATGAATTTACATTAATATATTTGATTACCCTTGAGGCTAAGTCTAGAGTTGTTACAATTGAAATACCAGCACCAAATCCACAGATAAGACCAAAGGTTAGTGACGTCATCCATATAGAATGTTGTATTGTAAAATATGTAAACAGACATCCACACCTATATTAAATACAAAATCAATCAATATTAATAGAATTAAGAAAGAACGTTTACTGTTCTTTAATGGAAAGTTATTCAACGCTCGTCTATATATCAGTTGTCACAGTATGCATGGGTCTGTCTCGTGTAGAAACAAACGACAATATTATGGACCCAACTAGAATACCACCTGGTTATCAACCCTTTAAAACAATGCCTTTCTAATTAAGCGTGTAAAGAAATGCTTCTCTAATGAAACGTATACAACAATGATTTTCTGATTAATTCGTGGGTTGGTAGGTCTTCTACTCTACTATAATATCACTTCGAACTACTAATTGCCTTGATGGACGCCAGACATGTTTTAGACAAGCGTCCGTGGGTCATTTTCCAGAAATATCGGAGACAATTATATAAATTAATCAACACTTTAAAGTGATGTTTTTGAATTCCAGTAGGGTTTCAAATTGTTTTGGTTTAATTCCGTTTCAAAAATGAAATGGTACTCTATCGTAAACTTCTCTTAGTGGACAGTGGACGGTTGTTTGTATTCAGAGGACAAAACAACTCTAGATTCTTATAATAACAAGTTCTGTAGATTTAAAATACGGATTACTAAATAAAATCTTTAACTTACGAGAAAATTACGTTTGCTGTTACCAAAGTAATTCTATAACCAACCCGACCAACAATTAACTCAGTAATAAGCATAGCAATAAACAGGATGCCATTAAATAATCCCAGTATCCATGTATCATCACCGATTTGAGAAACGTCAAAAAATCCAGATCGATGCATAAGAGATATAAAATAAGTTGATAAATTGCCTGAAATAGATGCCAGTTATTAGCAAATAGTTATATATAGTTAAGTTTAAGAGCACTTGTAATTATGCTATGTTTCTATGACTAATTCGTCTGTTGATATTTTCAATAAACCTCTGGATGCTAATGGGATATGAACTTATTAATTACAAATTCTACCAAAATATAGAAATATCATTATAAATTAGTACCCTGTCTATCTTCTAAGGAAGTTCCTGGCAGCTTATGTTAGGAACCGCTGTGACTAGGTAAGGCGCTGGCTCACTAACCAAGAGGTCTCTTATTCGATCGAGGTGTTAATCGAGAAAGTTCTTCAGGATTTGTCAGGGTGATTTCCCCATATCGACTCTACAGAGCGGGGGTGGGGTGGGGGTGGCAGGGAACAGCGAATACTCGTCCAGATGGGCTGAAAAGGTGTACTTAAAAGAACCCTTGACAAAATTTGATAAAGAAAAAACGGAAACACGGCTATCCGCGCACATTTCGTAGCTAATGTTAGGGTGCACTCGCTTACACCATATGCACAACATTCATAACATTAAAATGACTTTAGTTCAAGGAAAGGTAGTAAGTTATGCTATCTTCTTATATCACATTCATTATAAGAAGATTGATCAAATTTGTGGAACTCTGTAGAATTTATTAAAGTTTTTTTTTTTAAAAATTCCCCCAAAACAAAAAACAAAAACAAAACCAAACTGACTGACTGAATTGCATTAATTCAAGATGATATATGGTATTTAAATTATCTTACCAAATAAAAAAGGAATACATGTTGCCATTTGTATCAAGAAGCCTCCTGCGAGAGTACCCCATCTCTTGGAGAAGTACTTTGCCATTTATATATGTTCAACTCCGCCAGATTAATATTACCATCATTTTAGTAACTGATTATTGGAAGGCAAGCATATTTCTTTATCTGTATCTGAAAAGAAAACAAAAATATGCATATAAATAGTATGTGTATCTTGTATCTGAAAATGTAAAATTAACCCTAGTTATATTATACGGGTATATTATGCAAAATGGTGAAAAACATTGAGATATAACTCAATTACCGACCCATCTGTTACACCTTGATAAAATGGCACAAATGAGAATATGGGCTCATCCACCTCTTCTAAACCATTTGCATCAAAAGAGAAGAGAGTCAAAAAGAACCCAATCGGCCCCGCAGATCATTATTCACCCTCCCAGTAAAATCCTGAAACACAGGATCAGAGAGCAAATGACAAAACCGGGAGAAACAGAAGCTATGGCAAGATGTGGATAACAAACATTGTTGATGAAGTCTATGTCATCATTCGGACTACACACGAGTGAATGGCAACCACTGGGATCCCACATAACTAAAGCAGGAAACTAGTTAAGATTTAACTCGGAACAGAGTGTAATATGAATATGTAGCTGCAACCTCGTGTAAATACGATTTGAGAGTGGCTTGACTAAGGAATGTCTCCATTAAGAATAACTGAAACACCCCTCTACCGTCATTGTTGTAGCAATGATGGATACAAACAAAATTCCTAAGGGGATAACGAATAAGAGTTCATTTCAAACGTTGCTTGAAAATGGTTATATACTATAAGGGAATTATTAGGTCCCTACGTCATGTACATTGTACAATAATGTTACTTTAATAAACTGTCTAAGTTTCAGCACCCTGTTGCTCGGGGTAATCATTCTAATCCAAGATGTGGTAAAAGTTATTATGATTCAGCTCACTGTGTGGACGAAGAAGCCAAAGATGCGTTAAGTACCGACTGTATAACTAATGAATTGTTAACAATTTATGGTTGATGAACAGGTAAATCGATTAAAGCCCACGTATAATGGTAATCCTACAGTTAAAATTGAAGTTTCAATACGTGCTGAAAAACTTATGTTTACTTTAGATACTGCAGCTAAAGTTACTGTGTTACCAGAAGATATCATGAATGCTTTCCGGATATTCCACTACAAAGTAGTAATGTAAAGTTGCGTGATTATTCTGGTTCTAGTTATCGTCTGGTGTCATGTGATGATTTAGTTAAAGTAGAAACTAGTGATTGAGCAAGTCCTATAGTTGTAGTACCAAAGAAAACACCAGGCAAGCTACTTTAATATTAGCCTGTGATCCATCATCTGTAGGTGCTCAATTTCACATATTATGGACAATGGTCAAGAAAAATCTATAGCTTATGCGTCTTGTACTTTGTCAGTATCTGTGAAAAATTACAGTCAAATGGCGCGCGAAGCGTTAAGTATTATATTTGGTGTTTGTTAATTTCAAAAGTATTTATATGACCGTAAATTTACATCGATAACTGATCATAATCCTCTAAAATTGTTTAATCCTAAAACAGGTATTCCAACATTGAGTGGTTAGAGATACAAGATTTGAAACTTACTACTGCCAGTAAAACTATAGAAGTGTTAGGTAGTTTTGGTCTGCCTTGTGAAAATGTCAGTGACAAGTAACCACAGTTTTCTTTACTTTATTAAGACCAGCTATTCAACAAACTAGATTGGAAACAAAGTTGCGAAATCGCCAAACGTAATGAACATCGTAAGCTCAGAGAATTTATTGTGGGGGAGAAATTAAGGGTGTTAAATGTTCGTAATGATTATCCAAAATGGTTTTATGGTAAAATAGTTAGTCGTTAAGTCTAGTTCGTTATATAGTTAAAATTGGTTATCGTAAACGCCAAGTTCATGTTGATCATATTCGTGAAACCTTGAAAGACAATATTTTACCAAATGATTATTTTGAGCCTATAATTAAATCAGGTGTAAATGTTGATGATAATAAAACTAGTTAATCTAGTATTACTGATGATAGAAATAATAATTGTAATAATGATATAGATAGTACACTGAGAAAACAAAAGTGGGTCAAAAATAAGTAAAACTTACTCATTTGGGTGAGTTATGAGAAAATACGCATCTAGATGAGTCTTTTGACTCAGATTGAGGGCAAACAGGTCAGCTATGACTCAGTTCATTGAAACTTGCGTGGACACTTCGAGTCGCCAACTAATCACTTCCGAGTTATTATATAATCAGTGATGAATTTGTCATGAGTCACAGCCTGGTCAAGAGTGAGTCCTTCCGGTGAAATGGATTGTGGGTGGAAGTTTTTGGCGGCCGTTTGACGATAACAGGACGCTTATTGACCTAAAAGAAAATCCAATGCATCTACAAGCATCTACCGTAAAAAGGTGAATCATTTGTTTTTTTATGTTATGGATAAAGCTTTATATTATGTTGACTATTATACAGATTAAGCGGCATAATATGAAATAGGCCAATGATTTTGAATTTCATTAAAAATTCAAATTTAAATTTATTAAGTCTATAAGAAATTATTATTATCCAGTTAGTGATTTATCTGGAAATCTTTAACTGCATGGTATTAGAACAAATTACACAACGAAATGTCACTATAGGCCTAGAGCACAAGCACATTGACCTAGGCTTAGTTACTAGGCTAATACGATTGAGTCAAAAGCGAGTCGCCACGTAGTTCATAAATGAGTCACAGCTACTTTGCAAAAAGAGTAGGAAAATAAGTAAATACTAAATCACAACTGGGTCAATAATAGATCACTGTTTTTTGTCAATAATATGGTAGGATTTTCGTACGTCGAACAGGCTTAATACTAAACATGAAAGATGCATTATTTAAGACTATATGAGAGCTAAATCTGCCTATTACAGGTCTTTATATTGGCTTCAAATCTTATATAAACTATTATTTAGACGTTTATTCACATGACAAACCCATAATAAACGCTCTAGAACATCGAGTGGCAGAAATTTAAATGGATCAGAACGCCCCGATATTTGAAAATTTAACGATGAAATGGATAATCGAGATGTAGTCTCGTTTGTCCAGTACCGTTGCTTCGATAAAATAACAAAAACTACGCTACTTCTTCTAGCACTCATAAATTCACTCTGAATGAAGTAATTTGATTGAAAGTTTCAATATTTTCATTTTTCATTATCTATTTTTTGTACTATTATAGCAAGAACGGACAGCTCTTTATAGAATTCTTAGATAATGCATCTTAAATGGGCTGTCAGGGTTTTGCAAGTTTTTGTGATATGTAACTGATACCGTATCTCACATAAAGCGCTTCGCAAATTCACTTGTAAGTTGTGCTGTTTTTTTCTTTCTTTTCAAGGCTGGCTGGATGCTACTGTTAAAGCAGTTCAACTTTATTAAAAGAAGACATAAATAAAATGCTTTGTCCCACAGAAATGGTAAGTAAAATAGACTTTTAAGTTTCACTTAATTCTGAGGGTTGGGTGTAGTGTTATTTGACATTTAAACCATTTAAACATCAGCTGCAACTGTAAATATGATTAAAACAGCGAGATGTTGATATTAAACTGGGAAATTTGTTTTTGTATCATTGCAGAAACCAGAGAAAGTGATGTCATGGATAATAAAAAATTATGGAATTGGAAATGCGAAAGATTTCTTGGACTTTTCAAATGATAATGTGTTTGGGGAACATTAAACTGATTCTTAGTGATCATTTACTATATCTGTATGAATTAAATACACATGTATTTTATAATATTTTTAAATTTGGTAGAATAAAATACTTATATTCGATATTATTCAACTTTTAAACTGACACAATAATGATCATACAGGCTTGGAAATATAATATTATGTTATTTGATTGTTCGGCTAACTATTTGGTTAGTTCAAAAGACGAACGCATCATTACACTGATGCAGAGGTTGATACATCAGGCATAAAGTTAATAGGATTCAGGCTTGTGCGGAGTCATTTGACTCGTTGTGTAGGCTAGTAATTTGACTCATATCTATTTGCATTGATTCACTTTACTAGTCATTTGACTCACTACAGTTAGTTGCGTTACTCATCTGTTGTGTCAAATGACTCAATAAAGTAGTCAAAGAACTCACTTGATTCATTTAACGAGTCGATTTATGGACTTTTGGGTGTGTCACAAAAATGAGTCTCTGGACTCATTATTTGAGTCCCATGTGTGTCCCAAGTTAGTCAACGAAAAGTGAGTCGTTTTATGGATACTCACTCAAATGAGTCAACTGACCCACTTTTTTCTCTCTGTGTAGTTCGTCAGTTCAAAATTCTACATGTAAATCTGCTGTAAATGGAGATAATAGTGTTAGATGTTCAGGTAGAATTACAAACCCACCTGAAAGACTTATTGAATCTATCTAAATAAAAGTACATAGTATATTGTATATTTCCTTGTTTTCAGTTAAAGTTACTGATACATGTATTTAGTATTACTATGTTAAGTAAACATGTACAAATTTCTGTTAATTTATAATCTTGGGTGTCACGGTGGCTAAATGGGTAAGACGCTGGCTTGCTAGTCTGGAGGTCGGGTGTACGATCCCTGCATTGGCCGAGAAAGTTCATCCAGATTTTCAGGCGTGGCTCCCCCTTGTCAGTGATGTTGGACGGTTGGAATTCGATATAAGAGTACGCCATAGTGCCGCTGTCCGGGCAAAATTTCCCTCATAGCACACTGTATGGCGTATGCCCGTCTTCATTAGCCCAGTTCTGAGCAGAACAGTAGGACGTTAAACCGCATTTCATTTCATTTCATTTACTTTCTTATCTTAAAAATATGGGAAATGAAATGAAATGAAATGTGGTTTTATGGCACGTCAGCTCCAACGGGGCTATATTGCGCCAAACATATGATGATTATTTTGAGACAGGCTAAATTATATCACAGAACAAATTACATTCATAAATAAAAACAATATCACAGTAAGTAACATTAAAAATAAAATCTATCTTGCATATAACTATCTAAAATACAAAAATAAAATGATATATAAATACAAATTAAAATTTATGATAAGAACCTGTCTCTTTTAAAAAGTCTAACACTTTCCCATATAAACCCGGTTGGGCAAACATGTGATGTAATGATTGACAACGGTAAAAATGCGATCTTATATCCTTGAGATGCTTGCACTCAATCAAAATGTGCTTCACTGTCAAAGGAACATGACAGTGCCCACATTCTGGTTGAGGCTCTCGCTTTAATATGAAAATATGCGTTAAAGGTATGACCAATGCGAGAGCGACACAAAACAACTTCATCTCTCCTGTTAGACCTGTAGGAGCTTGGCCAGTCTCCTAAGAGAGGCTTAATGTGATGAAGTTTGTTTGTGCCTGCAAGATCCCAAGACCGTTGCCAGCGGTCATAAATAAAATGATTAATACACTTTTAAAATCTTTATATGGCGTTAAAAATTCAGATATGGGAAGATCTAAAGCAGACTTGGCAGCCGAGTCTGCTTGATCATTCCCTTTGATATCCATATGACTGGGGAGCCAGCAAAGGACAATGTCCTTGCTGATTAACTCATTAGATAATAGCAGACTATAAATGTCTGCTATTAATAGGTGATCAAACTGTTTATTGTTTATTGCTTGTAGCGAGGACAAAAAATCAGTAAAAATAAAAATATGGGGGTTGGATGGCCGAATGGTTAGCACGCGCGCGTTGTATCATACGGTCTGTCATTAAGTCAACTGGCGGGGTTTCGATTCCCCTGTTGTACGTGACAAGGAGTAGGGTCGCCTGTCCAGCCTCGTGGATTTTTCTCCGGGTCTTCCGGTTTCCTCCCACTACTAAAGACCCCTACGCGCAAGCGAGCGAATTATTGAAATAAAATTGAACCATGTGCTAGTCCCGAAATGACCTAGTTTGTGTTGAGTGGACGTTAAACCCCATCTCTCTCTCTCTCTCTCTCTCTCTCTCTCTCTCTCTCAAAAATATAGGGGGGGGGGGGCAGACGAGCGTTTTCTTTCGCCCGATCGCGCCGATTTTTAAAATCGCCCAAATATTTTACGCCGGCGATCAAATTCGTTCGTGTGGCCGTGTCCAGCGTATATTGTCGTGGAATCTTAACTCCTGTACCACAAGTTTCGGTTTGCCCAACGAGCCCTTCTAGGTATTCTGCGTTTTCATACAGTCACAAGTTTTTATCCTATTTTACAAACCGTTTTAATATATCACAATTTTACCATAATGAAGGTTTAATTCGAATTTCGGGAAAATCAAAACGAAACTGCCCGACAAAATGGCCGCTCTGTGGACGCAAATTATGTAAAAGTATGTAATACGAAGGTTGTGGATCCTCTAGATGTCAGAAGTTTTATTTGATTTTTTATGAAACTTAAAATTTATCTTTATATCCCAAAGATCTCAGTCCCTGTCGATGTTATGGCCCCTGATTGTACGATAAATCGCTTCTGTTGTTAGCTTGTTCCCTATCCATCTCTTGCAAAATGTGGGCGTATCTTGCTTGGCAACTGCTGTTTTTTGACGGCTTAGCTGATCTACATGAGTATTATATTTGTTATAGAATAGGATATGATTTTGTGAACCCTTTTTATACAACTCCTGCCACTTTTTTTTGTTGCTGTGGGAATGGGGTACTCTTCCCCAAAGATTCTGATCATATTGCTCGCAAGTCTTATCGTTGTAAAAAGGAATGTTGATTAACAATACCCAAAGCATTGACATGTCAATACCCGGCCCGCTAAGTCACTTATTGCATTTACACTATATGAAATACATGGCATATTAAGAATTTCTTGCCGTGCTTGTGAGGCTGCGAATATATGGTACCGTGGTCAGCTAACCCATGTATTCCATAAACTTCTAAACGATCGCTGCTGTGCATATCTATTGTGCCTGGACAAAAGTTTCCATATCTATAAATTACCTACCGTAATTAAATGGCAAAAGCTCAATTCATCAGAATTATCCTTAACAAAACTAACTAACCTTATAAAAACATTAATTATCAAAGCTTTTTGTGATGCCAGTCTACATTAGAATATATATAACATAAACATGGGAACATATAATATGTATAATATAAACTTGGTTTTCGCTATTTCCCCTTCAAAACATAGATGATATTTCTATTATTACTGGTAAATATACAGACCTAGCTATTCACGTATATACAGATCAACATTATATAGGCCTACCAGTTACTCTTTCATTCAAGCCAATCCATGATACTAACGATTTTAATATAGACATTCTAATATATTATATATAGGATACCAGCTGTTGTCCCATAGAGATGTAACTGATATGTGTTTGTATTTATATTTAAATAATGATATCGGTTATATGCATGATAACTATCTTTATTTTATGATCAGTAGTGGAATACCGCGTTTTATCGGTGAAATAAAAGTGTTATTCCACTGGCTAGTTCTTTTTACTTAAAATGATTGTAAAATCATAAAATAAATAGAACATTTGTCGTTTTGTCGTGAATAACATATTTTATTTCATCTCTAAGCAAGAAAACGTTTATATTTTCACTCATGCTACGCATTCGTGAAAATATAAGTTTTCTTGCTTCTCGATGTAATAAAATATGTTATTCACTCTAAAACGACAAATATCCTCTATATATTATATAAAATACATGAACAATATTTTGGTATACGCCTAGTGAATTACTGTATTTAAAACATAACTCTTCCTTAATTTCATACTGTATCTGGTTTAAAAATAAACTTCAAGCCGTTCCGGGCCGTATTCCCGTAGGTCGTTACTACAATGTCTAATGAGTCAATGAGTAACAAATTTAGCCAAAAACTTACGATTCCCGATCCTGATATTTATTGTACCTAAACCAATATTCCCAGGCCTTTAATGTATTTTAATTTAGGCCAAATAGATTAAACCAGTTACGTTATATTCATTACTATATGCCCAATAAGCAATCGTCTGAAGATTAGTTTACATAGTGTTAGGGACCTTTCGCATCGGTACGAAAACGAAAACGTCATCGATTCGTGTGTACTTGTGACGTCAATCCGTAATGAGTGTTCGGCCAGTAAAAAACGTTACGCGTATGGAGCTGGATTTACGTAGGTATGCAAACGAATATGTTTCTTGTCTCATATATTGAATTTTCCACCATTTTTCGAGGCTTTGTGTATATTGTTGATTGTGTAGAGTTCGTAAAATATGCTCAAAAGCAATACTCTGCTTGATTTGTTGTGCATCTGCTAAAAACAAAAAATCGATTGAAAACGTTACCTTGATCGAGAAGTTCATGGAGTGGAAATTAACGCCATCTAGCTATTATCGTACGTCGGATTGCGAAACCGCGTGTTAGAGGATACGAAAACGGAAACGTAAACGAACATATTGTTCGTTTTGGTGTTTGTTTTCGTACCGATACGACGTTTAATAAAAGCGTCAATTTATTGTTAGTCCCCCCATTTCGTTATAGCAGATTTTATGACCGTTTGCACCCCGCCATCCCAAATAAAAATCGCTCCACGCCGTTGTAATTTCATCTAGCATTTGATTACCAAAATAGCATTTAAAAGATTAAAGGACATATAGCTGTACTCTTTGGAACCATAAAATAAACGAAAATGGGTCTAAAAGCACATAATAATTAATGTAAAATGTATATAAAGTGATTTACATTGAATTGTTATTCTATTGTAAACTGAAATCAACACTTATGTACGGTGATATACCAGAACAGTCAAAATTAAATGATAATCGTTGGGCCTGCATAGTCCATTCTACATTTTTAAAATCATTATTTCGTCGTTTTGAGAGATAATGATGTTCTTTGTACAAAACCATAAACCAGAAACTATAGTGTACATGTTCATTGTGTGTTAGATATTGGACATTATGATAACAACATCAATATTGATTGAAAATGACCAATTCTGAATTGTAATTCGTGTTTTTTATTTCGTATATTATGGACATTTATGAGTTAAATATTTATATCCGCTAAAGAGAGGGCTTGTCAGGCCCCCTCTTAATGCGCCTACCAGTGACATGTCACATTGTGACATGAGTATTTTCTGTGATTACTTGTTACAATGCAAGTCAGATTATGTTGGATAATATTGTCAGCACATATAAAAATATTATAGTGACGAATCAGCTGACGACTTTACTGCTGATATTCTATTAAAGTACATAAAGTAGTTGTACTTCTATATTTACTGTAGATTATTACATAAATCGAGTTTCAAAATACGCCCCAAATAATCAATCACTTTTGCTTCTTCATTCTAAGATATAAAGGGAGTTGGTTGGCCGAATGGTTTAACGAATGGTTAGATCATACGGTCTGTCATTGAATCAAGTGGTGTGGTTTCGATTCGCCGCTTGTATGATCGCCTATCCAACCTCGTGGGTTTTCTCTGGGTCCGTCGGTTTTCCCCAACAGCTAAAGACTCATACACACAAATGGATTCTTGAAATAAAATTGAACCATAATATATAATAATATATAAAAGATTTCAAGAGAAACGAACACGTTAACCAAAAACATATATAAAACGTAATTTTATATATATATATATATATATATATATATATATATATATATATATATATATATATATATATATATTATCGATTACACACAAATCTCAGATATTCTGCTCAACCCCGGTGGGATTCGACTACCGGGAAATCGACTCATTGTAATACGTTTGCTTTGAAATTATAAGCTGGTAAGACACACCCTTTACCGGACATGCTCTAGAACCGATCTCTAATCGGAGCATAATTCCATCTGAGAAACATTGTCTTCAATGGCAAATAAACACTCGACGGAATTTTGTCACAGCACATCTGTAATATTATCCTGAAGTCAGAAGTGTGTTCTGATCATAGTAGTATTGATCTCCAATCGGCTTAACAACACCTCCACTGTCCGTATTAGACCAGACTTTGTTGATTTTCGAAATATATATATATATATTTATCTTTATCTTTATGAAGTAAAAAAGTAATGTTGAGATATTTGAATATGTTCTCTTTTTTAATTGGAGGACAGCCATCAGCTCATTTTTAACCCCTTTTGTCTTTTTCATACAGAAGCTAAAGTGTTATTTTTTCTTCTATAATTTCGTGTTAATAACTTGCAATTTCAACTTTGTAAGTTAGTGTCTTGAAATTTGAAATAAAATACCTTGAAATTTGAAATGAAATAACTTGAAATTTGAAATGAAATAACCTGAAATTTGAAATTTGAAATTACCCCCCCCCCCCCCTGAAATTTCGACTGAACTACTTTTAAGATAATTTTAATACACCATTGTTAAACATGGAAATTATCTTTCTAAAATCGAGAATACTATGCTATACCAGACAAGTCCGATTCACCAAAATGCAACAATAGGTTCCATGCGACCGGATCGGCCGAGCTGTATCGATGGTTAATGCTATAGGTTCCCACTATCACGATTCCCGCTACGAATGAAATCGTAGTTTTAATCTTAGAGTAATCGTGGTAGCAATCGTGTCGATCGTATCTAAACGTACCCGAACGTATAGACACGTGGACTCAACAGGGACGATCCTATCGTAACGCATCGCACAACAGTGGAAACCTAGCATAACCCTTATAATGAGGCAACTTTTCACAGGTTGTTCGAGACTCCGCATTCTGTGCAAATCATTGAAGTTATTCGGATCGGAGAGAGAGAGAGAGAGAGAGAGAGAGGGGAGGGAAAGGGAGAGAAAGAGAGAGAGTTGGGATTTAACGTCCACTTGATACAAAGTAGGTCATTTCGGGAATAACATATCCTTCAATTTTATTTCCATCATTCGCTTGCGCGTTGGGTCTTTAGTAATGGGAGGAAACCGGAGGACCCGGAGAAAACTCACAAGGTTGGACAGGCGACCCTATCCCTTGTCCCATACATCCGGGTAATCGAGGTTATTTTTTAACTCTGTAGATGTGAAACCAAGGGTTTAAGTTCAGTATAAAACACATTTTAAATTTATGTTGCTATTTGGGTGTGGGTTGTTATTACTCGGCATTTTTGGCGATAAAACCCCCCAAAAAAACCAAAAAAAAAAACCAAGTAAAAAAAAGAATAAATTTAAAATTAATATTCAAATCCCTTATTAATCGGTAGTAATGTTCCTTATCCCCTGGCATATTGTGTATTTTACCAAGGGTAGAATGCCCCTCATTTGGAAATCCGTGGCGCCGCTATTTATGGGTTTATTTATTTATGGGTTATTGGTCATTGAGAAAATTGATAGTCTTTTAATTAACATTTCAATTCAACCTCCATAGTTTACTTGTCTGTGTTTATGTTGAAACAATGACGTCTTGCTTAATTCAAAATACCTTCTTATTGTGAATGAGCTGTAATAGCATGTTGATGAACACGCGTGCGCTAAGATAATAAAAATGAAAATAAGACAAGTTGTCTCCAATATCACCCTCCGTGGAAACGGACGTTAAACACTAAGAACAATATTGCTGAGCGTCGTTATATTGGATCGCAGATCAATATAACAGTAATTACAGGAGAACCACGGTAAGCGCAAAACAAAACCGACAAGACAAACATGTGGACAAGACAAACCTGCGGACAAGACAAGCTACATAGACATTGCAAGAAATTAACAACAAATATCAAATCAAGTGAATGGGAGAGTCTTTTAATATAAGGAATACCCAGGGTCAGTGGATTTGGATTCATCTTTAACTCCTTTCATGGATGATGACGCTGCCATGATCTAATAACAGGTGATCCACATATAATTATATTTTATTACTTTTTTAAAAATGATATTTAAAGACATTGAAGTACATGTAGTCTATAAAGAATTCCATATTAATTAAGAGATTTTGTTTTCGCTTCGTATACATTGTTATGTCGATGTTTGAAATCCGTGTTTGAATTATCCGATGTTTACATCAGCTCCATTTTAGTATTTCGCTTGTAATAATCATAACCAAATTTTGCGTGCATAAATTACTAGGTCACATGCCCGACATGCTACGCCAGACTCCCACTTAAACCATCTCCGTGGGCCTGTTCATTTATAGCAATAGCGATACGTCGGTTTGTGTACCAGACTTTGGCACGCTTGATAACGATACGTCGGTTCGTATTCACCTACTCAAACGGGTGACGATAGGTGAACGATACGTCGTTTCGTGTGCAAAATTTGCGTCTTTGCTCCTTCTTATAGGCCAGGTGCGACCAGAGGATGGATTTAACCCGTC